AAAAAAATGTTCTGCCCCGGGCGCCCATAACTCTGGTTACGCCACTGCTGTGCATCAAAAATCTCTGCAAAGTGAGGGAAATCCTCTCTTAGACAATTGTCACCTAAACAGGCGACCTATTTGGAAAACGTCCCCTCTATTCCTGTTCTGGTGACAACTCAAAATTTGAATTTTCTGTTCCAGTGACACTAGTCACCAGGACAAATAGGGTGAATTTTTCCAGTGGGTAAATAAACATAAGTAAAAACCTGGCAGGTTTGAACTCATTGCTGCTCTATCCAAAAATAAAATAAGGCTTTGGTTTTAGATACAGTTTGAGTTTAAAAACATTCATTCACCTAACCCACTGGTGAGCAATTTACTTCATATAGGGGGCCTCAAGTGTGGCCCATGACATCACCAAAGTGTCATAAATAATATTCAGTAAATGTAATGCTACAAAAAAAGCTTTCAGAAACTGCAGATATGCAACAGGAGATGGTCAAAAAGCCTAAGTGCATACTACATGAGGTAGTCAAAGACAGAAGTTATGCTGCAGGAGATGGTCAGAGACTACAAACATGCTATAGGAATTGATAGAGACTGGGAACATGCTTCAGAAGATGGTCAAAGACTGCAGACACATTACATGAGACTGTTAGTGATCACTGCTATTACACGCTCCTTAAAAATGACTTTGATATTTCTCTGAGCAAGATCCATTATAAAAGATCTGTCTTATGTATATGAAACCCGAACCAGAAACAGAAGAGCAACATTATTGTGACATGCTCTGCTGCAAGTTCAAGAAGCGACCGTTGAAAAAAATCAAGTTCAAGATGCCAGACTCCATTGATAGCTATACAGGTACACTGGTGTTGACAGGCCACACAATTGACCCTTTGCTTAAAAGGATGTTTCAAAATGTGCTATGTGATATAATATCAAGAAGACCAGTTCAAGGCAAAGTTAATCATTGTCTTAGTGGGGATTAAAGAGGACTTACAGAGTGGTGATCATAGCACTGGCACTTGGTGACTGGCCCATCACTGACACATGTGGGTGAGGGACAATCATCAGCACTGTGTAGGTCTTTATTAGACCAACTTAGAGCTTACACAGGGCTGTGTTTTCTTACTCCTAGTCATTGAACAGAGCAGTCTAGAAGCAAAGGCAGAGCCAGTATGTGGGCAGAGAGCCATTAAAGCAAACATGTTAATTTGCTCTAAATGGGCAAAGGCAAACAAATACATGTTTTGCAAATGCTCAACATTTGACTGGGAGCTCAACATTTTACTCCTCAGGAGGTGAGTGGCAGAGCTCTTCTGGGTGAAGTTATCCCTTACTAGTAACCTGTGTACTACATTTAAATATCTTCTTTGCTTTAGATCCCTACTATCTCTTTTGGCTGCTCATTGTTTCAATTTCCTTCAACTGGAACTGCTGGTTCATTCCACTGCGAATTGTATTTCCTCTTCAAACTTCTGACAACCTATTCTACTGGATGCTAGTTGATTACACATGTGATGTTTGTTACCTTCTGGATATCCTTGCATTTCAGCCACGTCTACAATATATAAAAGGAGGTGACATAGTGGTAAGTATCAATAAAGAGGCAATTGTATTGTTTACTGAATAACATAAACAAAAAAATACTGAATGTGTGGAAGCACAAGATCTATATAATTTGGAGGAAAGTAGTGTCAGCTTCTGTAGCAACAAGGCTGATTCTGATTCCAGAAGTTATTTTTTCCCTGCATTGCAAGAATCACAATTGTCACCTTACTGTTGTTATGGGCACTTTTTTTAGTCAATTTTTATAAGTCCGATGAGCTTATTTAGATTAATGTTACCCCATAGAAACCAATTAGAATTCATCTTGTTCTGGTCTCACTAAAGTAAAGTTTACTCACAATGGTTGCTATAAAATATGGGACTTTGATTTTAGGGTTTATTTCTTACTCTGTTTCTTCAACAAGCCTGCAAATGTCAAAGGTCCAAAGGGATCTCCAACAAAGGATAACATTGGTCCCTGATTATCGGGTACCTGCTGTGGGGTACGAAACTTTACGTAGACCCGGTACTGTCTGGTTACCTGATTATTTCTTTAGACATTATTAACACCTGGCAATCATAATTCATAGAACTATATATTTATGATAAGATAAATATATATAGAGGGAGAAATATAGAGAGAAGTACACTTTTTAGGAATTAGTTGTAGTGTGTGTGTGCTTTGCAAGCGATTGGTATGCTACCGTGTTATTGGTTCAGAAATTGATTTAGAATTGCACAGGTCTCAGTAGTAGGAATTACCTTTAAAGGATATCCATACTGAACTCTAAGAATATGAGGTATAGGAAGGATGTCAGGGAAGAAACTCAGGGATGGCTGCCCACATGACACTCCATTATATGAATACCAGCTTTAGAAAATGTGAACTTTCCATCATCTGTCTGGGTACTCAGATTTCCTCCTACACTTCAACTATATATATGCATGTGAGATAAGGACCTTAGATTGTGAGCTCCTTGTTCCAAGTGTTCACCTTTGCTAGCAAGTGTCCATAGCTGTGGCAGAATGGCTAGGTGGGTATCACTATTGTACACTGAAATGTATTAAGCACACAAGTTGTATACAGATGGTGCCTTACATTTAAGAAATTCTGTTCTGTGTAAACCAGTTTAATGCATTACAACCCCTTATTGAATAAGGCTGGATGTGTGGCTGAGCTTAAACGAATGTCAAAAGCAATCAGTAATAAAGGCTGATATCATGGGAGTGGATGTGTCATGCTACATTTTCTGTCTCCAAGTAATTGCACTATGATTCATTATTTTACAGACTGACTTTATTTGCTGTGAAAATGTCATGTGCTTATATACTGTATGTAAAGTGCAGTGGCCTGATAATAACTTACTTTTATTTCTAGGCAGAGAGAAAACAAACAAGTAAACATTATTGGGAATCCACAAAGTTCAAGGTAACGAATGTCAATATGTTGTTAAAAATGTTTGTATTAAAAAAAAAGCTGCTAATTTAACTGCTATGTAGGCACACAACAAATTATTATTGGAAACACATATTTAAAGGAATCACTTGGGTCCTGAAAGACTTGGGACATCCACAGGACCCTAGACTGACATGTACTACCGTGTGGTCACTGATCTAATGTCATGGGCATAACTAACTCTTGCACTGCCACAGAGGTAGCTTTTGGTGCCATGGGTTTGTTTTATTTTAATCATATCCGTGCTCTATGTAAGTGTAGAAGCTATCAGGGTGGCTATATAGCTGCCTAATCACTACTAAAAGTAAATGTGCCACTGGGTGAAGCGTAGATAATGGGCTACCATGCAGCTGCATGGGCTGGTGGCACTGTGGCTGTGGAAGCCTCTTCCATCCCTCACCTTGCTCCTCTGTAAGCCTGGGGCCACTGTGAGGGATTTAGAATGGTTGAGTGTAGAGGAGACCAGAAACATTTGCTTACAACCTCCCTTTGGTGAGAATGAACCCAGAAGTACTTAGCTCTAAGTACTTTCTTTTTCAAAGGTCGGATGTACAAGCAGATCAGGGCTCTCGGTCCTTTAAATCTGATTGTACTAGAAGTAGGGTAGATATCTCAATATAAAGCACCTGTCACTACTATCCCATAGAAGACTTATCAGCCCCCTTTTGACAGTAGCAGATAGAAAAAAACTGTAAAAAAATACAAAAAACATGTAGTGCATAAAATTATACATACAAACACACACACATATGCACATGTGCATAAACCCCAATTACACATACATTGATGGACTTAACAGTTTTTATTGCTTCTTCTATTTCCAATTTTGGGGAACTTCATTTTTTGCCGTTTCGCAAGGGCACAGAATTGTTAGCCTATAACTAATTGTTAATTTGTCACACAGTGACACAGTGACATGCCTCCTGTACGTTAAAGTTATCCTAGGCCAGTCAGTGAATTACATCTATTGCACTAGAAAATGTCTACCATCTAGAAACCTTTATATACGCACTTGTTTATCGACCATACAGTGCTGACATATGTATCATTACCTACACATATTGGGTGTTCCTGTACTTGGGACAAATAGAGAAAATCATCTATTGAAAATATTGGTAATATTATTAATTTTCTAAAATGCATTACATTACAATAAGGAAAACTTAATTTTTCACATTTTGTGTTTGTCAGCTTATAATAAAAATATGAGCTGGCTAATTATTAGAACTCTTTACAATTAACGGCATTACATGTCAAAATTATTTTGGTAGCTAAAATAGTCACAGGGTTATTATGTGGTTAACCAATGCATACTTAAAAATTAATTTGGCACGAGTATCCAGGTTTCAATTGCCCCTGGTCATGATAGGGTTTTGAAAAATCATAATGAATTAAGAACTGACTAAGCGAAATGATTCTCCAAAAGCATAATGTGCATACAATCTATAATATAATGAATCAGTGGGCATTAATCTTTTTACTAAAAAAAAAAAACATTTGCATTATGCATTGTGAAGTACTAATATAGAGACCTGGTAGTTCATTAAAATGCCAGATTTTCCAACTCCCTAAATATTCTGTATAATATAATTCTAATTAATTGTAAGGGGAAAATGCAGTTCCTAGTGGAGGTAAGAGGTATGAAGAAGTAAGTGAAAGTACGAGATATGTTTGTCTATAGGATAATACTCAGTATGATGGCAACAATTTTTGCAACGCAAACTTGGGGTACATAGTAGAAGACGAGGGATGTGAGCTTTTGTGCCTTGGGTGCCAGGGTCTAGCAATATCCCTGCATTTACTATTATGCATTTACTATTATTTCATATATGTTGGGGCCCCACTATTTACAAAAACATGTACAAACTGTGTATACAAGCTGAAATATAAGCCAAAACATTAGTTAATGGTTAATATATAACATAAATGCAGGAAGCACATGATTTTGTTTCAAAGTTTCTACCGATAACATTCCCTTTTACGCCCTCTTCTGGAGCTAAACTTCATTCAGCCTGAAGTACGCCATGCCCTGCTTAAATCATAATCCCTCAAGCCGACAATGTACCTCACTGGTTTCCCATTTTGCCTGCTTACAGTCTCACCTCCACTATGCTACGCTGCACTGAAACATACCATAGCTGTAATTTTTGGTTTCTCACCATTCTTTGCCATCTTCTGCTGTCCCTTAGCTTAATTGTTACACCAACTGTAGCTATGTGGCAAAGATGAATTCCACAAGGATGTATGCTGTTCAATTATTCCATTGCAAGCATTCCCAGCCATGATATTGCCATGTACAGACATGAACACTTCATTCACGATATGGCAGCTATAAGTGGAATCTTTAGAGTTCACCACCATATTGTAGAGGACAAAGGTGCCAGTGCAATACTTTTGAAGACAAAAACTAATGGCTGAAGATGGAAAACCAAAACTTAAAGCCAAAGAATGTTTTAGGATGTAGGTTTGGGTGGGCAAGCAGAGCAGTATTTGCATGGGTACTTATTAACTGGGGGGTTACATTGTGGACTAGAGAGGTTCAGGGTTTATGTAAAGGGAAAAGGGATGTACTGTAGAGAAGTAAAGCTCCAAAATGGAGCTTTAGCATAAGCTTTACCTTATGGCACAGGGCTTCCTGTGTTTCTGCTTTCTGCTCTATTTAACTATGGGATTCAAGTACTCTCTACAGTTATTGCAGTACAGTAGAACACAGTTTAATGGAAAAACCCATAGCAAACAATTAGCAATTATTTCATTGTTCTGACTGCTGTTAAGTGATTAAAGGATAAATAGGTTTGACTTAATGGATGTATTTTAATTATTAAAATGATGGCGTTGTTTGAGAGCTTCTAGGGCCATGCAGACATACATTTGAACCTAATGTAGACTGACATAGGTTAAACTACTCCGATTCCTGGTGTGAACATCAGAAGTACATAAACATAATGTCATCTGTTTCGTTTAATTGGAACACTAAACAGCGTGGTGTTGTTCCACAGCTTGACGCAGCATCTGTGGTGCCATTTGATCTTCTGTACGTCGTGTTTGGATTCAAACCAGTGCTGAGAATGAACCGAATATTAAAGGTAACACATACTCAGCATTCAGAATATCATTACTCTTCTATTTATGCTTTGGTAGTACAAAATAAAGGAGTGAATGAACAGAAATAGATTTAAAGAAAAGTGCCTAACTTGTCCAGAGCCACTGGCCAGATGTTTTCTAGGGTTGCGTTGCAAAATGAGAACTGGAAACGGGTTACTGAAAGCAAAACACTTTCTATTCGTCCAGTGGATTTATAATCCAATAATGCTGTGTGTGGTCATGTATGACTTTTATTTACAAAACCTGTCAGGTGAAATAAAAAGAAAAACAACTGCTGCCTCCAAAAACCTGCAGTCATGGTCAAATACTGAGCATTCAAAGATCCAACACTGCCTTATAGTGCTGAAGCTTTTCAGCCCCTTCTTGCCTCCCGCATATTCCCACAGGCCAGCAGCATCTCATCAAAGTGATGGGCCAAGTGGCCTGTATAGGAGCAGGTGGTAGCTACAAGCTCCAACACTCCAAGCTCCAGGTATTTGGAAATACCTGCAGAATTTTTGGAGGCTGCTGCAAATATGTGCGGGCACTTATATGTGATTGCACTTTCTGCCTGTAGTCATTTTAATAGTAATTCAATCGGTTTCTTGCTGTACAGATGTACTAAATTGAGTAGCATTCTTTGTTGCAGGCACTATAAAGATCCTTGTACAGCTGCTGGGGTCCCTTCTAATATCCAACAAAATAACACAACATTCACAACATCCCCCGCCCCCCCCTTCCCCAGCCTTCCATAAATCAGAGTTCATGCCTCCTACAAAGCCAATCACTAGACCCAATCTGTTACATGGGGGCAAGCAGAAAGTGCTGCTTAGGGCTATCTAATTTCAACTGTGAGTAAGTCAGACTTTGCAAAGCATGTTTAGGTTGGTTCTGGCAGGGTAGCAGTGGGAAATGTAGTGCAGCTAAGATATTAGTAAACCTGTACAGTATACAAATTTATTTTAAGCTTAGGTCTGGTCTTCTCATTTCTGTTAGAACCACTAGACATGTCTTACTAAATGATTTTTGAGGAAAGAAATCTTGTGTAATTGCTATTTTTACTTAACGTATAACTAAAGGCCCAACATTTTTTTTAGATTTGGATAGAGTGGCGATTGGTTAGAACCACAGTCATTATTTCTATTGCTGTCTGTGTTCCCTGAAAGGAGAGTCACTCTCTCTAATTGTCTTGATCACCAATGTCACCAGGAATGAATTTTGCATTGTTACTTTTTAAACATTATCTAACTTTGGGATTAAACTTGCTCTATTAATATACAGTATCTCACAGAAGTGAGTACACCCCTCACATTTTTGTAAATATTTTATTATATAATTTCATGTGACGACACAGAATAAATGACACTTTGCTACAATGTAAAGTAGTGAGTGTACAGCTTTTATATCATTGTACATTTGCTGTCCCCTCACAATAACTCAACACACAGCCATTAATGTCTAAACCGCTGGCAACAAAGTGAAAATGTCCAAAGTATATACATGCTAAAAAAGTCTGCAGGCTTTTACATTGCTTTTTTGATATATATTTATTTATTTAATTATAGTGTTATTTATTGTTGGTGAATTTGGTATTTACAGAAATATATTATTATAAATACCTAATTCAACAACAATAAATAACACAACAATTAAATACATAAATATATAACAAAAAGCAATGTAAAAGCCTGCAGACCTTTTTTAGCATGTATATATGTACAGGTGAAACTCGAATAATTAGAATGTTGTGCAAAAGTAATTGCAGTAAGTGCTGCAAAAGGGGTCCAAACCAAGTACTGAGTACATATGCATGCTTGTACTTTTCAGAGGTCCGATATTGTTCTATGTACAATCCTTGTTTTATTGATTGCATGTAATAATCGACTTTTTTGAGGTTGTGGATTTGGGGTTCTTGGGGTTTTCTTGATGTAAGCCATAATCATCACGGCTTGAATTATCTTGCTTTGCATGTAATGAGTCCATCTCATATATTAGTTTCACCTTTTAAGTTGCATTAGTGAAATAAATTAACTTTGAACGATATTCTAATTATTCGAGTTTCACCTGTATATATACTTACTAAAAAAAGGTCCGCAGGCTTTTACATTGCTTTTTGATATATATTTATTTATTTAATTATTGTTGTGTTATTTATTGTATGTGCATAAGGTATTTACAGAAATAAATAATTTTTTATATTAAAAAAATGTTCACGGTTATCAGTGCTTTCCTAGGGGAATTTCTTCTCATGCATTTTTTATTATATAGCACAACCGTGATAACAGAATATTATGGAGGTACTCTGTTAAAAAAGACAGAATTAGAGTTTTCTTTTTTCCCCGCTTGATACAATTAAAGAGTTAAGATACTGCATAGGATACAGCAGTATGAATTTCGCTAGCAGCAAGACAGTTTTAATCTGTGAGACTAGGCCTAACCAGTATATGCCTAGTATTTGGAATGCACCGATACCAATACTAGTATCGGTGTTTGTATACTAGTACCGTTATCTGTGCGGATACCGAGTATATGGGCGAGTACTCGTACTCGCCCAAATGCTCTGATACCTTTCCCGATACTGGAACTTCTGGTCAGAGGGAGATATCCTCTGACTGGCAGTGCCACGAGGGAACATGGAGCCGGGAAGCTGGCTCCATGCTGTTTGGCTGGCTCGATGCTGATTGGCCAGCCAAACAAATCTGAATATATGGCGACACGACCCCCGCGCTGCAGACAAATCATTCCCCTCACATAGATCCTTAGCAGCAGTCATTGCCATACCAGTCCCTTGGCCAGCTGGGCAGACACCGCACTCCAAGCTCTCCGGGATCTGCCCACGTCTCCTGTGTGCACATCGCCCACATGATCAGCCCTCAGCCTGCTACTGCGCATGCACAGGATTTCTGAATGAGAGCGCTGGGCAGTCTGTGCATGCGCATTAGCTGGCTGAGGGCCAATCACGTTGGCGCTCTGCACACAGGAGACTTGGGCAGATCCCGGAGATCTTGGAGAGCGGCATCTGCCCAGCTGGCCAAAGGACTGGTACAGTAATGACTGCTGCTAAGGATCCATGTTAGGGAAATGAGGTGCCTGCAGGGTGGGGGTTGTGTCACCATATTGTCAGATCTGTTTGGCCAGCCTTGATGCAGATTGGCTGGGAAGCCGGCATCCCGGCCAATCAGCATCGAGCCAACCAAACAGAATGGAGTCAGCTTCCCCGGTATCGGTACTCAGTATTGGCGAGAACAGAAATATAAATATCTGTACTCGTACTCAATACCAATAAAATGGTATCGGTGCATTCCTACCTAATATTATTTTTTACTATGCAGTACATTATCAATACAAAGAATTAAAGTGAGTGAATTCCTGAACCATGAACAGGCGGGGTTTACCTCAAACCAATGCTAGACCCAAATCAGAACCTCATCCCTACTGCAGTGGGAAAAATTGAGCCAAACAATGTAAGCCCCCCTAACATGCTACTTAGCCATATGCTTATACTTTGCAGGAGCAGATGATGTTCCTGACATTTTTAAGCTGTAACATGGCTTGAAACCTAACACAGCATCCTCAGTCTGTGTGTTTCAAACAGCAAACTAACCATTGTACACAAGCGGTCCTGTACAGATGTTACTCCCTCTAGAGCCAGCATTAGAAACTAACCACTGGAAGGGCAATGTCATTGTACTGGGTCAGACTCCTTACCAAGGAAAAATTTGCAGGAAATGCAATGTGTGGCATATGTAGGGGGGCATATCATTCACTGTAGCAAGGTAGAGCAGCCTAATCTGTCCTCTCAGGTGTGAACAAATAATTTGTAAATTGCAACCTTGAATGTACAGGTACTTCTGCCTCAGACAGTCAACAAGACAAGAATTATATCAGACTGAAGTTCTCCTTTAAGTGCCTCAGTCATATACAGTTATTGAAAAACTGCCCATATCAACTGACCTTTTAACTCAATATGTAACCATGCAAATAATTAAGGAGCGTAGTGTTGCATGCTAAAGTAAATGCTCGTCGCAATATCTAGGCAAAGCATTTGGTAATGATCAAAGCCGATAAGTCATGTTCATTGGTGCTTAAAACCCTATTAAGCAAAATGCTCTTGAATAATAAGATATGACAGGTTACATCGGTATCAGGTAGATGGAATTGTCTCAGTGATGCGCTCAGTTACAGTAGATGGCGAGGGAGACCTGTGACTCGTAATAAATGACCTTGGGCAGGGTCTTCTGGGTTTGACAAATTGCCTTCAGTTGTTATCCACTGAATCATTCACATTCAAATGATTTACAGACTTGGATATTTTATTTATTGCTACACTGAGTTTGATGAGGGTCAGTGTAAGTTTTTGTTTTCATGGCTATACAATTACATAGTTATGAAATGCAAAAAACATGTATAAGGAGAAGATGTATTGTAAGGAATGTATTGTAAGAAATAGGGGGAATGGGGATACTGGGACAGAAAGACACAAACAGCAATTGTAAAAAGCCTGACAGAAGTTGTAACCCATCTGTGCTCAAAAACAAAAAAAAAGCAGATTGAATGAATATCTTTTCGGTTACTGTGTGCAACTACAGGTCTTTGCACTCACTAAATAAGCTCATAAATGTGAAAACAGTTAGGCATGAGTAGCAGAACTATGTCTGTAGCAGCCAGTTGAGCCCATTACCCTGCCATGGGACCCATAGGCAAATAGGGGTTCAGGTGAGATGCTCTCCCTCACCTCCTTCTGCATTGGGATGGGTTAGTAAGCCCAGTATATACATTCATTGACCACTTTGTTAGGTACACCTATACAGAGACAGGTAGAAAAATAATGGTTTCTTTATGGAATGGATTTAATAAAAAGTACTAGAGGCATTCCTGAGGGATTTCGCTTAAAAGCATCATCACTACAAAGATAGGGGGAATCTTGCTAGAGTCATGATGTATAAACCAAATTCTGATCTTGGAACCTGAAATCAAGATACAACATAGATTTTCAATTCTCCAGTCACCTAGGTTTGGCAAGCCTAATGTTCTAGTTTAGATAACAGGAGTGAATGCCAGTATCTTATTTAGCTACTCTGGCCACCCCTTCCAGAGAATCACCCCTGCTTTTCCACTGTCTGTGGATTGCACAAAGCTCTCCCTTCACAACATACTTCAGGGGGACTGCATGGGCCTTCCTAACAGCAGATGGTAGGTATACCTATGCATATGTGTGCCTCCAAAGATTCTTCACATTCTCTCTTAAAGATAAAGACATAAGACATCAGCCTAATAATATCCAAGATCATTATCTAGACAGCGAAGGTAGTGTTCTGCCTCCCCAGTCTAAGCATTGAAAGTGTGATCTCTGTAACTTACAGTTGTTGTGTGATTGCAATAACTTCCAACCTCGTTAGAGTTGGCAGACAGCGACTCAATCCAGATGACACTTTAAAGATCATTAAGAAGTTTAATCCAAACTGTGCAGAACTTTACAATAGTGAACATAGGATGGGTCAAAAGATCATATTGTGATCCCCTTAACAAAGAACATATGGATGAGATGCAGACTGGAACATAATGAAGAAGGGTGGAGCTATCTACACAGAGGAAAACTAAACTATGGGGAGGGTTGGAAACAATACCAGAGACAGATAAAGCACGAATAATCTTAACTACTTGCCATCCGGCTGTTGTAATTAAACAGCCAGATGGCTCGCACTCTGTGACAGGTGGACATTTTTAAACATAGGAATATCACAAAGCATGTGTAACACGACATGTTATTTGTATCATTGAGTAAAATAAATATATAATGTAAATTTAAAAGTACAAACCATATAGGAATGATGCAAAAGAAAACAAATTAAAACCACCACCATCACACAAAAGCACACATCACAGCACAAACAGAGCACGCAACAGTTATATACGAGGGGAGGCCAATTTGTTCTTATCCTCACCATGATCCAGATGTGCTAGGGATCTGAAATTTAGTCCACTGGCTCTTCCTTCTCTACATATCCACCTCCTATGGTTACACACTTTTCACATCTGTGAAACAGACCTTTAATACCATCTGCGTAGAAGTATGCAGATTTGGAGGAAAACCAGCTATCAACTTCAGGAATGACTGCCTCATCATTGTGGAAACGTCTTCCCCGTAAATGTTTCTTCAGATTTGGAAACAGGAAGAAGTCCGAAGGTGCCAGGTCAAGTGAGTAAGGTGGATGGGGCAGAGATTCATAGCCACAATCACGCGATGTGCAGGTGCATTGTCAGCTAGCAGCAACACACCTTTTTGAATACCTAATCACGACTCAGTATTCAACTTTGTCCGGTATGAGACCTACTCCATTTCTCTTGGCTCTAACTATAATTCACCATGACCTACAAAAAAAAAATTGGCATGCATATTACGACGATATCCAGCTATAAACCTGCACAATTTCAGATCCCTAGCACATCTAGATCATGGTGAGGGTAAGAACTTATTGACCTCCCCTTGTATATTGTCCAAGGGATTCATACTACAAGTCATTATAAAATCCTGTGATCAATTACTGAATGTGAGTATGTAGTTAATATGAGCAAGGGCTGGCGAATAATGTAATTTTATATTATCTGCATCTTTAAGGCTGCTGTACTGTAGTTGCACAGGAATATCTGCTTTGCACAATATCAGCAAACGAAGGGAACCCACACTTCATAGGAAATGACAAAGTGTTAAAATCTATGAAGACCACTTCTTCAAGAAAATGTTGCCTTTTTGACTGAATTTCCTCCTTTTACACTTTACTTTTATAAAATGAAGCCTAAATGAATACTGTTTTGTTGTTTGTGACATTTTTAGTTTCACGCCAGTTTTACTGCAGTGAGTGGTTGGTACTTTTGTAAGTGCCCTGTTATTACTTGTGTGGGCCTAATTGTTTCATTTGACATTGTTTTTCAGTATGGTACATTCTTTGAATTCAATGATCGACTGGAAGCTGTCCTCAAAAGAGCTTATATTTACAGGTGAGCTCCAAACTGTGAGAACGTGCTAGAAAGCCATAATTTAAACTGAAGTGGAATAAAAATCATTCATTCATTCATTTCACTCCTTTTATATGGAGAGTTTTTTAATAGAGCTCATCTGCATGGAGTTCCAAAATCCCGCCATACTGAAAAGCATGAACTCTATAGTGCAGAAATTAAAAGCTTGTGTATCTTCTTGTAAAGAAAAGGGAAACTTGAAAAGCACAATTTCCCTTAAGGGGTATTTTAACCCACAATAATGAACTTCTCTTAATTTGTCCCTTTTGGGCTGCTATATAAACCATTGAAAGTATCTGTTTAATAAGTACCTTTTAATCTTGCCAGAAGTTGTGAGTCAATAACTTCCTGTGCTATCTACCGTGTTTCCCCGAAAATAAGACACTGTCTTAAATTTTTTTGGGCTCAAAAAAACACACTAGGTCTTATTATCGGGCTAGGTCTTATTTTTTCTTTTTTTTAAATGTACAACAATCCCCACTTATTCATGTAGAAAAATATGGTGATCAGGGCAATCATGGGTGCCGTACCTTTCCAAGAACAATTTGCTAACCAATCGCTGGCCAGAATGAGCGAAGCGCACTTTCACTATCGATTCCTCACAGGCGGAGTGCATTTGGTATCACTCCGCCTGTGACATGAGCCAGCGCTATAGAGGATGCATCGGCTTATGCGGCTCTGCTCCCTCCACTGCCGCCTCGCTTCCTCTAGCGCTGGCTTCGTTGGCACCGCTGATTCTCTCCCGCAGCTCTTCAAGTCCTCCCTTATGCCACCACCGGCCCTGGGAATGGTCACAACTAGGTCTTATTTTCGGGGTAGGTCTTATATTTTAGCAATTCCTCAAAATAGTACTAGGTCTTATTTTCGCGGGTGGGTCTTATTTTTGGGGAAACAGGGTACCTGTGCTGACTGTTAGCAGTTACATTGTTCTCAGCTAGGACTACATAATCATGCCCTTCTAGTTTATGAAATGAGAGGGGCAGGGTCCTGTAGTTCTATCCTGTTTCTGTTGTCCTGATATACTAGGATAAGTGAACATTGTCATCCTAGGACAGGAAATGTGTTGCTGGCAGAATCGCTAGGTAAAAAATAAAGGAACGAAAAGCTTGAAAAAAAGGAAGCCACTGCAGTAAACCACAATGAAGAAATTACATTTTGTTGTGTAGGATTTAGATAAATGTTGGTCATGTGTTTAGATGAAGCACTGAGATCTTGCGGAATGCTGAATTAAAGGAGAACTATGGGGTCAGGGCTTTTCCCCATAGTTCTCCTAAGGGTCATGGGAGAACACAAACTAGCGTTCTCCCGTGACCCAAAGCTCAGCTACAGCTCGCGGTATACTGAGACACTGCAGCCGGGACGGATCCGACTACACTGTCTAAATCCACCCAGCTGCGGGAATGACAGCTGGCTCTGCCTATCCAGAGGCAGAGCCAGCTGTACCCGCCCCCTCCCCCTGTTTGTTCCGCCAGTCAGCGCTGGAGGATCGGACAGGGGAGGGGGTTGAATCCCTGCAGGGATAGTTTGAGAAGTGAGTGAGCGACGGTATGTGTTCGCTCACTTCCCGATCTACTGAGCCGACCTGTGACAGTTTCATTGTCACAGGTCGGCTCAGAGTATGAGGCTGAGTGAAAATCACTTGCCTCATAATTCTTTAAGTTTTACTTGCTTAGAAGAATATTATTTTAAAATACTACATTGTGCAGGAAACATATATATAGGAAAACTTCATGTGTATCATATAGAGACTAACACTGCACTGCAGCGCCATATACAGCTCAAAATAACAGTACACATCAGCAAATGCTGCTGTATTCCCTACATTTTAAAGCCCAACTTCAGTCAACACATCTTTTTTTTTTAGCTTCCAGTGCTGTTAGGATTAGAATTAGAGCTCATTAAGGGAAATTTACTAAGTCTGGAGCAGACAGAATCTGGAGCAGCTGTGCATTGCAACCAATCAGCTTCTATCTTTCATTTTCAAAGCTCAACTTAACAAGTTGAAGATAGAAGTTGATTGGTTACCATGCAAAGCAGATGTAACCCACACTCTAACATCCTAAGCCACATACGTACCAACTTCCAGAATTGGGTCCCCCAATGTTTACATGCAGCAGACCTGTCCTCTTCCTACCCCTGCCCCTGTGTTAGCAGTAGAACCGCATAGATTGAGAGATGTGATGAGACAAGATGAGATGGGGTGTGACTATGGGGTTCTATGTGCTATCTCTAAGTCTATAGGTTCTACTGCCCCATTCCAGATCTCAGGTTGAGGCTGAGAAGGGTGTGTGTGTGTGTGTGTGTGTCAGGGGAGGGTTACATCTGCACAGCATGAGGGGAGAACATTTCTTTTTGGCACTTTCCCTATACTTGAAAGTGATATTAAAAGAGAACTAATGTTTTGGTTTTAGTTCTCTTTTGGTCAGAGGAGGACATTTACTAATGTCCTCCTGTGACCCAAACTCAGACTATGAGTCATTGCTCTCGGCATGGAGAAGGTTGTGAGCTCTTGATCTATGGAGCTGGCACCTGCAGTGTCACATGCTGGCTTTAAATTATTGGGGAGAGTATATTTTACTCTCCCAATACTTCTCCTTTAATGCCAAATGTTGTTAAGCTGATTAAATCACTTACAATGGATACTGCTTCTTATTGTTTAAAAGTTTTAGTTTCCTGCAGAATCAGCTTATCCCCTGAGCACTTGTCCTTATATCCTGTATTATGGTGGCTACTTTCCCTTGCAGGGTTCTATTGAGCCACTCTTGTGGATGATAATAAGCTGTGTGTGTAACCACAAAAACACAGGAACAGTAAGGCAAGACACTCCCCTGCTCCCTCTTCTTCCGTTCTCCAAGCTAGTAGATGTGTAGGGTAGTGGGCAGGATTGAGGATTGCAGTATCCCAATCTGCCACTAGATGTCCCCATAGGCAATAGTGAGTGACTGGGGGAGTCACTGTATTGTTAAAGGTTGCTCTGCCCTGAGGGAACTCTATGTCCAGTGAGAGCCAGATATATAGTTTTGGGCGGGGCAGCCGCGCAGTAGGCACATGTGCATTTGGCAAGGTGGACAAGACAGAGTGATTTACAGAAGGCTGGTCCATGGCAAGGCACAGGACCAGGCCTGTCATCATGTAGTCGCTGTGGATATCTGTCAGCTTCCCCTAAGGGGGAAAGCAAAGGAGGGCAGGAGCAACACTATCTGATGGAACTACTCGCATCACTGTAGGATGCAGGATTCTGGGCAATACATCTCCATCTGTTGGTAACTATGCATGTGTGCTTAAACAAGTAATGTGCCATCATCAGTGATTGGGATGATTGAAGCCTGTATTATGTTGTATATAAGAAGATGTTTAAGTAAAAGTTCAAAAGGCTCTCTGTGTGTGGACTGCTCCTTCCCCCACCCTCTATGATGGGGGGTTCTCCAGGAAGCGAACTTGTGGTGGGCTGGACTGCTGCTGTAATGATGTAAAGGAGTGTATGTGGGGAGAGATCACGGCAATACTGGTCAAGCCAGGCACAGGTTACTCTCAGAGGTGGACTTCGCCATGAAGGGGCGATGTGCTGAGATTCCGCCCAAGGCATTAAGTACCTTGAGAGTCCTGTGTTCAAAGTATTCCAGGGGATCTGAGCCACTACAAATGTAGCCAGGGCAACAAAGAGTTAATGGATACCTGGTGCCGCACAGCTGAAACTCGTGAAATGCACGCAGACCAGCACTCGACCACCGCGGGGATCAATAGGTGGATCCCACTACACAACAGATGGATAGATGTTGGAGACTGCTCTGTCCCTTGTGATCTTGTAGTGGACAGAAAGGTCAGGGAAGAGGAACTAAGAGAGTTAGAGCCAGCTGTTTAAAAACATGATGTCTGTAAATGTTTGGGCAAAATTTTAAGCATCAAGCAAGCCTGTTACTTGCATTGAATGGAAAAAGTACAGATTCACTTTAATATTCACACATAGTTACACAAAGAACATTTTCATTTCAATTTACTTTTCTGAAGATCTTAATTTTATCTTTCACAGGGTCATCCGAACAACTGGCTATCTCCTGTTTATTCTTCATATTAATGCATGCATTTATTATTGGGCCTCCAAGTACGAAGGCATTGGTAGCACCAAATGGGTCTATGATGGAAATGGGAACATGTAAGTTTAATTTTGTCAATCTAGAGACTTGTTACTAAGTGTTGTGATTGATTCTTGAAATAGTTAAAATGAATGCAAGAATTATATCAACTTGAACTTTGTGTTATTGAGCAATAACCTTTAAGATGCTCAAAGGATCATTTTAGTAGTAGGGTATGTGTTTGACATAAGGCTCAGTTAATGCTAATATATTATCATGAAAGGTCAAATTCAGCAGCGACCAATATAACTATCTGTCATTTGACAAGACTGACAGCTTGTTATTTCATTTGCTCTACAAATGACACAAAGACAATAGAAATGATGGAGAGATGCAGGGCCAAGTGTATTATTTATGCATCCAAGCTACTGCCGATCTCAGCAGCAGGAAGATCAAGAGTGACACAACCGCTTGTTGGGCTTAAAATGTCTTAAAGGAAACTCACATGTAATTAAGCAAGATGAGCCCTTTCTGTGCTTCATTTTAAAGTGTTTGTTTTGAATCATCTAAGGTAATTTATAAGGACATTCTACTCTGTGATCTGCACTATGGCCTCCATATATTTCAGTTCACAAAACTTCCGTAACAGTTGCAGGAAGTGCATATTGCTTCAATGGTCTATGGTTATGAGACAAGCAGCTCCTGAAGTGCTGTGTGTATGGATAGCTCTGAAAGCCTATGATATACAGTATTCAGAACTGGAAGATATTTGTTCACAGTATATTTCAGTTTTGAATATGGCATCCAGTGAATATACTGTACTGCCAGTACTAAAGCAGCTGTCTGACTTTAAAGGAAAAAAAGACGTGTTTAGCCTTAGGGCCTTAAGTATTACAGAAAGTTACCCCATTTTCCAAAACTATGACCGTAGTTTCTTCACACCCTGTATCATGACTAAAGATATAGTTTAGTTAATAACGTTTTTTCTTCGACAGCAGCGGAAACATAACTTTCCTGTAATGTATAAAGTGTGTCCTATGTGGCTGGCTGATGGTTCCTTCAGATATCCTTCTTGATCCTCCTCAATGATGCTGGATCCTCTTTACAGCGGGGGAACTTATGGTACTGTATGAGTTAACTACTTCTGCTGTTAGTAAAAGAATAGCGCCTCTTGGCCTCTTCTTCCATCCCTCCCCCATGCCCATTCACAGAATCCTTGCATTCTTTTCATGTAAAGCGTTCTGTGAGTGGAGAGAGGGTTCTGCCATTCATCTGCCTCTCCCACACTCCCAAAAAGCTTTACATTATGTGAAAGGAATGCAATGCAAGGGGTGCAGGTACTCTTAAAAACTAGACCACACAGGGATCCATATACACACACAAACATGCACAATCACATACAGACACACAAAGGTTGGACTTGATGGACCAGTGTCTTTATTCAACCTCAAATACTCAGTAATGATCTCTGTGAATGGATAAGGGGGGGTTGAATGAAAGCGATGAGCAGTGCTGGATTCTTTTAGTAAAAGCAGAAGCAGTTAACTCATACAGCACCAAAGGTCTCCTGCTGTGAAGAGGGGAACTATCTTTCTCCTTTGAAAAGAATCAATTAAAAAAGTGAGCTGGGCGGAGCTGGCAGGGCAACCGATGGATCACATTTTGTTCAATTCAGCAGGAAACGGCTGAAATTTGCTTTGTGTGTGAATTAAGAGTCAGAGGTGAGAAGTATGACATTCGCTACCTTACCAACTGCCTGAACCCATGCTGATTGCACATACGGTCTTCCAGCTCTTATAGTGATCATAACAGTTTAATGTCCTGTATCCTCATATAAACTAAGCAAAGCTAACTTAGAAGGCAAACTCAAATCTTTCCTAGGAAAGCCTGCACATTTACTATATTTTAAGACTGAATATTATTTTGCCCAATCCTGTCTCATTCTCTTTAACAAAAGTTATAGCATTCAACTTTAGCACAATAGAGAAATCCTTGGTTGTGCTTCCAGTGATCTCTATAATGAGTGTCGAAAAGATAACAAGGTCCAGTGTCACTTCACTGTGTCTGTCAATCAGCAATGAAACAGCAGATTGCTGGAGTACAGACAGCAAATTGTGAACCCCTAGGAAGGTTAGACAGACATAATAGAAGAAATATACCTAATTAGCACTATGTTAAGGTTTAAGGTACAAAAGAACCCGCAGAACACCCAAACCTGTCAGTATTTCTCTGTATGTAGACATGTAATTACAGTGGCAATTTATACATTTCATTGGACTGTCTATGTCTATGAAAGTGAATAGCACTTGTTTTTTTCACTTCAACCGCATCAACCTGTGTTTAGCAGCACCCATGTAAATTGCAAATGCAAATCATCAGATCTAAATCAAATCTCAACACAGATAATTAATACAACTCCACTTGAGCAGCCTAAAGCAAATCCATACTTTACCTTCCTTTTACTCCGTTGGTCCTCTGTTTGTCCATGGTAGTAAGGAGAAGAAGCCCTGTGTACACTCCAAGTGGTACTGGTTGGAGCTTACTCTTTCACTTGCTTCAACCTGTGTTTAGCAGCACCCATGTAAATAGCAAATTCAAATCATCAGATCTCAATCAAATCTCAACACAGATAATTAATACAACTCCACTTGAGCAGCCTAAAGCAAATCCATACTTTACCTTCCTTTTACTCCTCTGATCTTCTGTTTGTCCATGGTAGTAACGAGAAGAAGCCCTGTGCAAACTCCAAGTGGGTCTGGTTGGAGCTTACTCAAGGTTGTAAGGGCTCTCTCAGCATCCCCACACGAAATTGTTCCTTGCTGTTGATTGGGTGCTTAGGCACCCAGCACTGGAAGTCAGGGTGTCAGGTATCTGAATATGGACCCTGGATGACAAGGTTGGGCTCTCTTACTGCTCCAGTCCAAACCTCCCCAGGTTGGAGAACAGGGAATGTAGAGCAAAGATGTGCTGCTAGTGACATGCCATTGTTGCTGGAACTTGAAAACAATGTCTGGGGATGCCAGAGAAGTGAAGGTCACTGATGAGTCAAGGAAAAAGCCCAGGTTTGTAAGGGTGGGAACGAGAAGCACCAAATAAGTAGCAAAGTCAAATTCATGCACAAGCCTGGTCAGCAATCATGTGGGCAAAGTATCAGGATGGCAAGCAAGAGTCATGGTTTTGAAAAGAGGCCGCAGTTGTTAAAGGGAAAAGTTGAGCAGACGAGTCAAGGAACAAGTCAAGCTAATAACTAGACATGTGCGATTCGGTTCTTTCCGAAATTCGTTTTGGACGAATTTTCGGAAATTCGGAGATTCGGATGCATCCGAATTCCGAATTAAAGCTAAGACGAATGCAAACGAATCCGAAATTCCCGATTTCCCGAAACTCGTTATTAAACGAATTTCGTTGCAGCAAAACGACATTAGGAAAAAAAAAATACAACAGTTACCTTTTCCAACAGTTCCTTGGTCAAAGTACAGAAGCAATAGACCCTTAAGGTCTGGTAGGAATTTTAAAGGGGAACCCCAGCCCCAAAAACGTGGGCCCCCCCCTAACAGTCCTACCAGACCCTTGATCTGAGCACAGGTCCAACAGCGCAGGAAAGGGGGGGGGGCGATCAGTATAGTGGTTAGAGGTAGAGGCTTGCAATTGATTGCCATTGTGAAGTTCGCTGGTTCAAGTCCAGCCATGGGAGAGTAAAGGTTTTCTGTTTTTTTTTCATAAACGAATTTCGGCAGGACTACCGCTAACGAATTTCGTCCGAAACTAATTTAATTTCGGACCCGAAAAACGAAACTAAACTAAACAAATTTTTTTTTTTTTTTTCAAAACGAAACTAAACGAATTTTTTGCTGGTGCACATGTCTACTATTAACAGAATGTTCCTCACAAAGGGTAAAGAGTCACATGCTCGCCCATATCCAGAAGTATCACGTATTACACAACAGACAGCCAAATGAAGCAGTAAGGGAGTGAAGGGAAGGTGAGTATATGCAGGAGGCATTTAAATGAACCTGCTGTATGCCCTGCATCAAATATGCACAGGTTCACCTTAAACTTAAGGAAGTGCCCACGTGGTCAATTTGCAAAGACACACAAGCCATAGTTCCTTAAAATATCCCTAGTTTTTAGCTGGTGGTATTTATAAAGTTCTATAAGAGAACATAATTCGAGCCATCGGAGGTCAGGTGACTAACACCCTCACAACACTGGTCTGGGGTGGTAGACAATCTAAGGGTACCCACACAATTTATAGTCCATTTGTGTAATTATTGATTGCATTGAGTCACACGATATTTTCTGTTACATTCAGAATGTCTGATCAGGGCAAGTATCTATTAACCACTTGAAGGCCATAGTGTTTCACCCCCTTCCTGGCCAGGCCATTTTTCAGTATTCAGCGCTGCGGTACTTCGACTGATGTTTATTCTGTCATGCAACGCTTTACTGAAACGATTTTCATACCATTTTTTGGGGACAGATAGAGCTTTCTTTTGGTGGCTTTTATTCACCACTGGGGTTTTTATTTTTTACTATATAACAAAAAAAGTACCCTAAATTTTGAAAAAAAACATGTTTCCCTATAAAATGTTATGAAACATTTTTTTTCACCCCAATTTTTTGGTAAAATATAAAAGTCGGGGTCACGTCGGGTAAATAGACACTAAACATGTCAACCTTTAAAATTGCGCGTGCCCGCAAAATCGCAGAAAACGACCGCAGCCAAAAATGGCCATAGGCGACGCTTTAAACGTTTTTACCGCTCATCAGTTTAGTGTCATCAGTGATTGATGGCCCTAGAATTATTGTTCTCACTGCGACGTTCGCGGCGATATGCAACATGTGCTGCATAATGGGCGCAATCGTCGGTTTCGTACATAGGCGCACCCGACGCATGTTTGCGCGTGTATCTGGGGGGCGGGGGACTTTAAAAAAATGTTTGTGTTATTTTTTTTTATTTTTTTAGCTTCTTTATTTTTTTTAGCTTCTTTATTTTTTTTAATGCTGTAATTTTTTTTTTTTTGACTTAACTTTATTGCTATAACATAGGGGACTAAGGAATCCCCTATGTAATAGCCAG